GTGTAATGAATGAATGAATGAACGAATGAATGAATGAAAGAGAGAGAGAGTGAATTACAGGAGATCATCAGGTCATCTCCACAACAGTCCGAGTCATGTTATGAATGAATGAATAAATGAATGAACGAATGAATGAAAGAGAGTGAATTACAGGAGATCATCAGGTCATCTCCACAACAGTTCGAGTCGTGTTATGAATGAATGAATGAATGAATGAACGAATGAATGAATGAAAGAGAGAGAGTGAATTACAGGAGATCATCAGGTCATCTCCACAACAGTTCGAGTCGTGTTATGAATGTATGAATGAATGAACGAATGAATGAATGAAAGAGAGAGAGTGAATTACAGGAGATCATTAGGTCATCTCCACAACAGTTCGAGTCGTGTTATGAATGAATGAATGAATGAATGAATGAATGAATGAATGAAAGAAAGAGAGTGAATTACAGGAGATCATCAGGTAGTCTCCACAGCTGTCTGAGTCGTGTAATGAATGAATGAATGAATGAACGAATGAATGAATGAAAGAGAGAGAGTGAATTACAGGAGATCATCAGGTCATCTCCACAACAGTTCGAGTCGTGTTATGAATGAATGAATGAACGAATGAATGAATGAAAGAGAGAGAGTGAATTACAGGAGATCATCAGGTCATCTCCACAGCTGTCTGAGTCGTGTAATGAATGAATGAATGAATGAACGAATGAATGAATGAAAGAGAGAGAGTGAATTACAGGAGATCATCAGGTCATCTCCACAACAGTTCGAGTCGTGTTATGAATGAATGAATGAACGAATGAATGAATGAAAGAGAGAGAGTGAATTACAGGAGATCATCAGGTAGTCTCCACAACAGTCCGAGTCGTGTTATGAATGAATGAATGAATGAATGAATGAATGAAAGAGAGAGAGTGAATTACAGGAGATCATCAGGTCATCTCCACAACAGTTCGAGTCGTGTTATGAATGAATGAATGAATGAATGAATGAAAGAGAGAGAGTGAATTACAGGAGATCATCAGGTCATCTCCACAACAGTTCGAGTCGTGTTATGAATGAATGAATGAATGAATGAACGAATGAATGAATGAAAGAGAGAGAGTGAATTACAGGAGATCATCAGGTCATCTCCACAACAGTTCGAGTCGTGTTATGAATGTATGAATGAATGAACGAATGAATGAATGAAAGAGAGAGAGTGAATTACAGGAGATCATCAGGTCATCTCCACAACAGTTCGAGTCGTGTTATGAATGAATGAATGAATGAATGAATGAATGAATGAATGAAAGAGAGAGAGTGAATTACAGGAGATCATCAGGTAGTCTCCACAACAGTCCGAGTCGTGTTATGAATGAATGAATGAATGAATGAATGAATGAATGAAAGAGAGAGAGTGAATTACAGGAGATCATCAGGTCATCTCCACAACAGTTCGAGTCGTGTTATGAATGAATGAATGAATGAATGAATGAATGAAAGAGAGAGAGTGAATTACAGGAGATCATCAGGTAGTCTCCACAACAGTCCGAGTCGTGTTATGAATGAATGAATGAATGAATGAATGAATGAATGAATGAATGAAAGAGAGAGAGTGAATTACAGGAGATCATCAGGTAGTCTCCACAACAGTCCGAGTCGTGTTATGAATGAATGAATGAATGAATGAATGAATGAAAGAGAGAGAGTGAATTACAGGAGATCATCAGGTAGTCTCCACAACAGTCCGAGTCGTGTTATGAATGAATGAATGAATGAATGAAAGAGAGAGAGTGAATTACAGGAGATCATCAGGTAGTCTCCACAGCTGTCCGAGTCGTGTTCGGGGTCCAGGCCGTCCTGCTCTCTCCCCTCCGCCACCAAAACATCTTCAGTCATCTCTGCCATGGCAACACCATCCTCTTCCTCCTCCTCCTCTTCCTCCTCCAGTGACATCACACAGGTCTCCACGGCAACGCCCTCGTCGTCATCGCAGTGCACATACTCGGCAACCACGTCCTCGACGGCGTCCTGGATGACGAGCTCGTCGGAGGAAAAGCCCTGAACCGACCCCCCCTCCCCCTCCACCTCCGACACCAGCACTGTCTCCTGCAGCTCCACCACATACTCCTCGTCTCCAGCACCTCCCTCGCCTGCAACACACACACACACACACACACTTAGTGCCTGCCAGAACTACTGCTGGCAGAGTCAAAGTTTGATCATTAAACCACAATTCATAATGACCAATTGAAATGGTTAACCTCTGGTTACTAGATTCCCTAAAAAAATAAAGTAAATCACACACATACATATACATATTTTTACAATAATGTATATTATGTTTTAATTGTTGCTTTTTATTACTGTCCAAAAGCAGAAATAAAACGGTTTTATATATATATATATATATAAAATATATGTAATGCATTATAAACATAAATACATTTCTAATTATACATTATAAAAATATATTGATATTTGATAATATTTAAATTAAATTGAATAATAAAAACATTAGATGACAATAACAACATAACATTAATTTTTGTAATAATAAACAATATTATTATCATAATATATTATCATAAAATATATATATTTTTTTACCATTTTATACCATTTATATCCTTTTCTACATATATAATATGTAATATTTATTTATTTAATATTTTTATATGTAATATTATAAAAAACATATTAATGTATATTTATAATATACATTTATATACATAATATATATGTTATTATAATTACATAATTCTTTTTAATTTAACAGTTTAAAAATATATCATTATTATAAAAAAACTATAGATTACTTTAATATTATTTATTAAAATATATATTTTTTTGCGAGTTGTGGCATTTGATGTTTTTAATTTAAATAATTATATATATATATATATATATATATATATATATATATATATATACAAGTATATTATACAAAATAATATTAAGAATATAAAAGTATATTTATAATTGTATATATTTAACTATAAATATATCATTTTTAATTAGATGAAAAATATTTTTATTATAGTTAATAACTATACAAAATACTTGACTTTTCTTATTTATGCCATCACATTCATGTCACGTATGCCATCATAATCATGTAACAAATGCGATTGATATGCTAGTGAACATCTAAAAATTTACAAATTGTTTTCATACAAATTTAAACTTGATCTTTCTCTTCTGTGAACAAATGATCTCTAGAAGGAGAAATGATAGAACATTAGCATTAAGCTATCATAACCTTAGAAAGGACAGATGTGTGTGTTTATTACCTGAGCCATGCAGTATAATCTTGGGCTCCTGGGAGCGGAGAGCAAGCCTTGTCACCTCCTCATCCATCGTCTTTATTCTTCATTGGCCACGGCACAACTGACACAACAAAAACATACAATCATTTATTACCAAACACAAAATGACTATATTTACATATGAAGAAACCAGTAAATACAGAAGGAATCCAACATAGCGCTTTCTGAAAAAGGGGATCATAACAATGTGAAAGGCTTCAAGAACTAGTTGTCATATTGTAAACATACAATAGGTTTGGAATGGATGTACACTTGATTAGACACACACACACAGAGAGAGAGAGAAAGACATGCATGCAAACAGATAAATATGGAGGCAGAAAGACAGGCAGACTTAGGAATATGACTGATAAATATGAGCAATTATTGACGGACATGCATGTCCCTTATATTTGCACATGACTGCGACAAGATGAGTGACTGAAAAATGAATGCAACACACCACATGAGCACCAATAAATGCTTGTGCATTAGGTGTGTGTTATATAAAATAATGCAATACATCATAAATACAACGCAAAATGCATTTAAAGCTTTATGCATGACAGGAAACACATGAAGCTTCATGCAATTTGAGCAGAAAGTGTACCAGCCATAGACTGAAAAAAAAAAATAGGTAGCAGCGCGCGCCGAAGCTTCCCACGTATTTCAGCACCTGAAACCGGACATAAACATGGCGCCTTGTTGTGGCCATCATTTTTCCCCTTCCACAGAAAACAAAACCCCGCCATTTTGAGCCATAATACACCGCGCGATTAATTCCCACGCATACATATTACACATAAGCGAGCACGCGCTCTCAGCTTTGAAACAAAGGGGCGTTTAGTGTCGCGCGCCTGTGCGTGCATGCAAGAGCATTTATAAACAATAACCCTCCCCCAGTGAACGAGGCCTGAGTGCGGCCTGTGTGAGGCCCGGGGCCCGGCGGCCAATCCGAGGCCTCGCGTCTCCAGCAACATAATGCAACAAAAACGTGCGATTTGAGTTAAATCCTGCGTGCGCGTGCAACGAGCTTGCGGGATCAAACTCGCGCGGTCTGATTCACCAGTACATGCGCGCTTACCATAGATCAACGCACGGGGCGGCCTCCAGATTTTCCCCGGGCAGGCAAGGCCGTCGGATTCCCCCAGACTCGGGCAGGGTTGGATCGGGAGTTAGCGGGCGTTGGGCGGGCCGCGGAGTGCGCATGGAGGGCGGAGCTCCACACACACACGCACACGCTTCAGCCCGCAGCTTCTCCACAGCGCGCGACCCGCCGTCGACGCGACACGTCACTGCGCAGAGTCGCAGGAAAACGCGGAAGGCCGATGAACAACCGTTTACCCCGCGAACAGCGACAATTCCCCACTCAAAGTGCATAAACGGACTGTTTAACCTTCACTGACCGACGAATTCATGTTAAAGATGTGCGTTTCAATTGTTTGGCCTTTAAAAGTGCCCACTGGTTGGGTCATCCCATGCACTGCGTTTCTATGCCAGCCCACTGAAGTCTCCAGTTTTAGAGCACATTCAGACACCAAATGTTTGGAAATTTCACCATATTGCTCTCATATTGAAATTTTATAATATTTTGAAATTATAATTTAAATCAGACAACGTTTCTAATTGCTATGTCATCAAGCAACATCTCATGAAAATAATGACAACATGATTTTTCTGATACAAAACAGGGCATTGATTTCATTGATGTCCACTGTAGAAGGCATTAGGACTCTGATCGTGTTTATTAGGCATTTTGGGATACAAAAGTGAATGGTGAAAGTGAAAATTGTATATCAATATTCCTATAAAATATTAGATATTATTATGAAAATGTTGCCAAATATTACTCCCATTATTACACTTATTATTTTGTTTTTGTTTTTTCATTACAAGTTGCCCCGAGAACATTAAAATGCAGATTAGATACAGTATTGTATTGAATGGTACCCATTTATGGCCATTTTATACACATATAGCAGTAAAAAAAATCATTATAATATTGCAGTAAAAAAAATAAATGCAGTCCATTTAAAAGTAAAGTAAAATTATATATTAATTCATTCCATTATATCTTTCATAACATAGTTGAGAATCATCTTTCTTCGAAGCTAGGTTAAAATTGATCGTTCCCAATTGTAAAAATCTTGTTGTTTTTCCAGGTGTCCACTACAGTGAACATTGCACAACATATGAATACAATATATATATATTTTTAAATGTTTTATTTTCTTCCATTTGTTTCTTATGCTATTCTAAACAATGTTATGCATGAAAAAATACTAAATTCAAAAAACTTTTTTTCTTTGTCTCAGAAGTTTAGTTAATTTTAAGATTAAAGTTAATTCATCAATATCAAAACTGAAAAACAGGCCATTTATTATGAAATATCCCTGGTGTTTCATCGTTCTTTTCTCTAATCCTTAATCAAAATGTTGTTTTTTTAGTTTTCAACACATATTTAGTGAAAAATTAGGTATTGTTTTAAATGTAAGACTATTAAGACTAATTGGTTTGTTGCATACAAAAATGTTACTGTAGTACACCTCTATCTGTTTCTGGGATGGATGTCTTTCGAGGGTGAATAATATGCATGAAGTATGAAGGTGAAATCAAACAAAATAGCCCAAATGTTCAAATACGAGTGTTATCATGTCAAATGAAGCCATTAACTGCAAATAGCAAGTCTCATAATTAATTGCCAATTCAAATTTCCCAGAATAATGCACTAAAAGTTTGTAGTGTATACTTAAATCAAGGCATCTACTAAAGTCTACTAAATGAGCTCGGGTGTCTGGACATCCTCTATATCCAGTTGCTTTGACCAGTTGCACAGTTTCTCAGCCTCTTCCTCCCATTCAGACTCTGATGAGTTTACATCATCTTCGGTCTCAACTAACGGCAGAACTATCTTGATGCCCCATTTCTCAGTGTTCCCGTTCTGTTTCTTCAAGTCATGGTTATTAATGCGGTCCATATGTTCATGTAACACCTGGAAACGAGAGCAACTCAGGTTTGGTCCTACAGAACACAAAAATCCTCTCATTTCTGTCATAACAACTCTCTCAACTCACTGAATGACAGTGTTTAGGTAATGGATACAGTATCTAATGCAATTATATCTGAAGCAACTGTAATTGAATAAAAAAATTAAGAGTAATCCTTTACTTTTTCGTGGTAATTACAATTTAATTACCTTGAAAAAGCAAAGGATTACTCTTAATTTTTTAATTACGCAGTAATTAATAACTTAGTAATCCATTAAACCCAACACTGGTGCGGTTTTGGGAGTGTTAAGCACTTGGTCAGCTTGTGTTGTTTTTAAATGTGCTGTAGAAACACGTTTTTGTTGTTGTTATTCACTCGATTGTGAAATTTACTTGCGATTTCTGACTGAAAATTGTTTCTATTATTTCAGTGTATGGTTGTTGGCATTGAAAGTGATGGGGAACCTTATATGTTTAGTCATATGCAGAAGTCATATCTTACTCTGTGTGTGTCGGTCAGGCCGTAGAGGCGTCTCTTGCGATCCGCAGTGATCTGAGCACGAGCGGAGCGGCGTGTCGAGGCCAGAAAACCTCTGCACACATCAAAATAATGTTACAAATATTGCTCTTTAAACATGACATTTGGTTTGTTTGGTATGGAAGCTTGTTTCCGCCTCTGAAAAAAAGAAAATAATAATAATTGTGACCTTTTTATCTCACAATTGCGAGATATGAAAAAGTCACATTTGCGAGATAAAGTCGCGAGAAAAAAAGACAGAATTGAGACTTTTTTTCTCGCAATTTTATAACACGTATTTGCGAGTTTATCTCGAGATTCTGACATATTTTCTCAGAACTGTGAGACATAAACTCGCAATTGCGAGTTATCAGGTCAATTCTAAGGAAAAAAGACATAAAAAAGACAAAAAGACTTTTGTCCCCTTAGAATAGTTTATATCTCAAAATTCTGACTTTAAAACACGCAATTGGGACTTTATATGAATCAAGTCTGACTTTATATCTCGCAACTCTGACTTTATATCTCGTAATTCTGACTTTATATCTCGCAACTCTGACTTTATATCTCGTAATTCTGACTTTATATCTCGTAAATCTGACTTTATATCTCGCAATTCTGACTTTATATCTCGTAATTCTGACTTTATATCTCGCAATTCTGACTTTATATCTTGCAACTCTGACTTTATATCACGCAATTCTGACTTTATATCTCGTAATTCTGACTTTATATCTCGCAATTCTGACTTTATATCTCATAATTCTGACTTTATATCTCGTAATTCTGACTTTATATCACGCAATTCTGACTTTATATCTCATAATTCTGACTTTATATCTCATAATTCTGACTTTATATCTCATAATTCTGACTTTATATCTCATAATTCTGACTTTATATCACGCAATTCTGACTTTATATCACGCAATTCTGACTTTATATCTCATAATTCTGACTTTATATCTCGTAATTCTGACTTTATATCTCGCAATTCTGACTTTATATCACGCAATTCTGACTTTATATCTCGTAATTCTGACTTTATATCTCGCAATTCTGACTTTATATCTCATAATTCTGACTTTATATCTCGTAATTCTGACTTTATATCTCGCAATTCTGACTTTATATCACGCAATTCTGACTTTATATCTCGTAATTCTGACTTTATATCACGCAATTCTGACTTTATATCTCGTAATTCTGACTTTATATCTTGCAACTCTGACTTTATATCACGCAATTCTGACTTTATATCTCGTAATTCTGACTTCATATCTCGTAATTCTGACTTTATATCACGCAATTCTGACTTTATATCTCGCAATTCTGACTTTATATCACGCAATTCTGACTTTATATCTCGTAATTCTGACTTTATATCTCGCAATTCTGACTTTATATCTCGCAATTCTGACTTTATATCTCGTAACTCTGACTTTATATCTCGCAACTCTGACTTTATATCACGCAATTCTGACTTTATATCTCGTAATTCTGACTTTATATCTCGCAATTCTGACTTTATATCTCACAATTCTGACTTTATATCTCGCAATTCTGACTTTATATCTCGTAATTCTGACTTTATATCTCGCAATTCTGACTTTATATCTCACAATTCTGACTTTATATCTCGCAATTCTGACTTTATATCTCGCAATTCTGACTTTATATCTCGCAATTCTGACTTTATATCTCGCAATTCTGACTTTATATCTCATAATTCTGACTTTATATCTCGTAATTCTGACTTTATATCTCGTAATTCTGACTTTATATCACGCAATTCTGACTTTATATCTCGCAATTTTGAGTTTACATCTCATAATTCTGACTTTATATCTCGTAATTCTGACTTTATATCACACAATTCTGAGAAATAGATTCAGAATTGTGAGATGAAAAAGTCGCAATTAGCTTTTTTATTTTTCATTCTGTGGTAGAAACAAGCTTCCAAAGTTTTCTACGTGAATATACAGTAAAGCGTAATTTATTCCTGTGATGAAAGCTGAATGTTCAGCATCATTACTCCAGTCTTCAGAGTCACATGATCCTTCAGAAATCACTCTATGATGATTTGATGCTCAAGAAACATTTCTGATTATTATCAATTTTAAAAACCGCTTAGTTATTTACATTTTTATTTCAGGATTCTTTAAAAGAAAGTATGAAAGAAAAGCATTTATCTGAAATGGAAAGATTTCGTAACATTAAACTCTACCATTCAAAAGTTTGGGGTCAGTACGAATTTTTATTTTATTTTTTGAGGGGAAATCAATACTTTTATTCATCAAGGTTTAATTAAACTGATCAAAAGTGACAGTAAAAACATTTATAATGTTACAAAAGATTCTATTTCAAATAAACACTTTTCTTCATCAAAGAATCCTGAAAAAAACTGTTTCCAATATTGATAATAATAATAATGTTTCTTGAGCATCAAATCATCATATTAGCGTGATTTATGAAGGATCATGTGATCATGTAATAATAATAATAATAAATAAATAATAAATAATAAAATAAATAAAAAATAAATAAATTCAGCTTTAATCACAGGAATAAATTGCATTTGAAAGTATATTAAAATAGAAAATAGTTATTTTAAATTGTCATAATATTTGTTTTTTTAATCAAATAAATGCACCCTTGGTGAGCAAGAACATTAAAAATGGTCCTAAACTCTTGAGCGGTGGTGTACAGTACCTGTGCGAGAGCTCCTGTCCGGCACACCCGGGTCTGGACGGCAGGACCGCTCTGAGTCCGCCCGCACTGAACCCGCTCTCTCTACGCCTGAGAGGAACGTCCCGGGACAGCACCTTCAGAGTCATGAAGCGCCAGCCGTTCTCTCTGCCACCGAGACGTGCCGGAAGCTCATCCAGATGGCTGGAGTACTGATGAACACAGAAGCACGATCACTTCACAGAAATGGAGTTTGAAAGAGTCTTAAGGGTGTTTGTCCTCCACCTGCATATAGTCTCTCATGCACATCACATCCTGTGGCTCAACAGCGGCTTTGTGGATCTCGTTCACTGAAATCAGATCCATAAATACTCGATTTCCCATCATTCTGCAGGAGTCTGCTGTGGCCTGATGATGTAGAAACACGTAATAATGTGCAATAATCACAATGCATGTTTTTTTGCTTTCATAGAAAATTATGGGAGCCCATTTACACCACAAGGAGAAAATAATCATAATCTGGTAAGTCTTATAATTATGACCATAAATGTCCAAATTATAGCATACAAATTCATAATTATAAGATAAAAAGTCAAAATTATGACTTATTTTTGTTCAAGTAACAAAATGTTTTTTTTAAATGATTTTAGTTTTAATTCTAGTTTATTCTAGACATAAATAGTAAAAAAAAAATATGAGATGAAAAGTCATAATTATGACTTCTCAAAATTTGTCAAAATTTCACTCAGGATAATGAGATCAAAAAGGCAAAATTATGACACTGACACATTTTTATCTCATAATTGTGGCTTTTAAGTCATAATTTTTACTTTTTAAGGAAAGTTTTAGTCATTTTGTTTTGTGTTTTTGACATTTTTAGGAGTTATTGACCAAATAACTAAAATGAAATGAGAAATGGTGCATTGGCAACTATTAAAATAATTTATTTATTATCTTTTTAATCCCATTATCCTGATTTTGTCAATTTTGACTAATTTTGACAAAAGTCATAATTGTGACTTTTTATTTCATAATTTTGACTTTTCATGTCAGAATTTTGACTATTTATGTCTAGAATAAACTAGAATTAAAACTAAAATCATTAAAAAAAACGAAAACATTTTTCGTTACTTGAATAAAATAAACATTAACTGGTATAAAGTTAAATGCCAACAACTTGCCAAGGCAAAATTGCTTATTTTAGTTTAGTTTAACTTGATGTACAAAAGGAAAAAGAAAAAAAAAACTAAAAATGAAAACAAAAATGACTAACTAAAATGAAACCTACATTTTTATGTAAAAAATATTTTTATTACATGAAATAAACATTAACTGGAATAAATAGATAATAAATAAATTATTTTAATAGTTGCCAAGGCACCATTTCTCATTTCATTTTGGTTATTTGGTCGATAACTAAAAATGGCAAAAACACAAAACAAAATGACTAAAACTTTACCTAAAATAAAAATGAAAATGGAGAAAATAACTGATTCAACATGTGAATAAAAACTCTGGTGACCTGGTTGAAGAGAGTGAAGAGGTTGTGTCCGCACAGATGCTGTCGTCCTCCTCCCATGTGGACGATCTTGAACACAACAGAAGGAGGAAATCGAGGACCTGCAAACCTGAACACACACACACGTGACGTTAAAGGAAGACTGGGGCTAGCGGTCACACATTGTATTTGTATTCCAGTAAATATTTCTCAGGGTAGGTTTATTTTTGAAAGCCAGACACAAACATTAAAATCTATTGAATATTTGAACACCAGTCTCTTTCTGTCCAGCAGCGGTTGCAGATATGATTCTGATAAGCGATGGACAGGCAATCTGATGCAGTTTGATTTAATTGTTCTTAAATTTATATATATATACTGTGTGTGTGTGTAATTCGAAATGCACCTGAATCGTAGCTTGCACTTCAGACAGGGGTCTTTCAGGAGCTCAGCTTCTCTGGGACTGAGCTGAAGCAGAACTGATGAAGCCGGACACTGTTCCTGCACACACACACACACACACACAGACACACATAGACAGATACACACACAAATAATAAGAACATTTTACTAAAATAATAACTATTTCAGTCTTCATACTTTCATGTATATCCATTTAACTGTCGCTTTTTATTGCCTTTTTTGCTTATCGCATATTTAAGAAATCATCCTGATGTCATTCGAAAACTTAAACACACAAAATTTATCCTGTGAAAACCGTTTTGAAATTGGACATTGAGTTAACATGAAAACAATACTTTTTAAGGATGGTTCACCCTAAAATTATAATGAATTCATCATTTACTCACTCACGGTGTTGTAATGCTGTATACCCAGCTTTCTTTTATGGACCAAAAGAAGAAGAATAAAAAAATTGTGCATCGGTTATGAAAATTAACCATTTTGTTTTTATTATAGTACAAATGTAAACATGTTTTTTGGCACCCCAGAACACTGGAATATACACATATAATGCAGGAGGACATTTTAAAGGTCTTTTTTTAAAAAGTTTGATGTCGGTCTATTCACTACCATTATGGATGAATGCAAGTGGGACATTATTATTATTTACATTTTTCTTTTATGGTTTATTAAAGAAAGAAGGGTTAACAGCATTAGAACAATACAGGGTGAGTAAATGATGACATCATTTTCACTTTAGGGTGAACTAACTGACCTTTCTAAATCCTTTTAGCAGCTCAACTGTTATCAGCTTCAAATTTGTAACAACTTAATTAGACATAAGGATTGACTTTAATTTTTTAGAAATTATTCCGTAAAAACGAAAAAATATACTGTTTATATACACGTATATTATGTCACGCACTGAACGCGTAATCTCACGGGTGTGATCGCGCGCTTCAAAGGGTTTATTATCAGATGTAAATATATTGTTTTTTGTCTTTTGAAAGCTGCATTTAAATCAATTTGGTAAAAAAAAAAAAAAATTCCGGTTTGAAGAACGGGCATGACTTACAGCCGAGCGTAGAGTATAGATCAGGAGTCTGAAGAGCCGTCTGTCCCTGAACGATCTCCAGTATGACTGAATTCTTCTGGCACAATTCTCATATTTCTCCAGTCTAAATGCAAATTATGTGTTTTAGAATCGATGTTCTCAAATATTATTTGGCATTTGTGAAGTTTATAAAGTTTAAAATGCCACTCACCTCCCCTCCATAACAATCAGCTGACTGACTGACTCACAGTAAAACTGGCTCTGATGTCTGGCTTTGTTGTCAGACGAGTGCGCGCGCCTGTAATGGTTGCTAGGAAACCAACCTGTTTATAAGTTTTAGCAAAGAGAGGGTGATCAAATCTAAATTTCCAGTGTGAAAACTTTCCTTCTCATACAAACAAAACAATATATATAAATATAGGCGTAAATCATATATGGAAATGATTAAACCAGTCAAAGTATTTGTACTGCAATACGCTTCATGAACACTAGATGGCGGGAAAACGCTGCCAATGACCAAAGTCCCATTACGATACATGTGTAGTCTTTGGAAAATTAAAACATACCGTAATTTACAACAGCCAAGTTTTGAGTCTGACTATTTGGGACGTGAGCTGTGTTGGTGATTTAATCAAAATTGGTGTATGTTTTCATCAAATAAGCTTTAATTATTTAGTCATATTATTAATATAATTATTATTGACATTTAATCATTATACGTCAACAAACACATTGTTATTTCTCTTTAGCTTTATCACTATTTAACTATGAATATAAAAGAATAATAAAAACACATAGATTGCAGAAAAATGCAGAGAAAATAAATAAATTCTGAACCGAAGACTTGCACACCGACAAGACACAATGATCATTCATTAACTCTAAATACAAACAAACTGAATACAAACACACAATATATACAGACTTTTATGTTAGATGTTTTCAATCGTGACTGATAGATTTGACAGCACTAAAATAAATGCATACAATTATATTGTATTGAAAATCCTTATTAGAAATTATTTTTAATCTTCGTGATGTTTTGTGTATTAATTTATACATACATAAACTCTCGCGCTGTCGAATTCTGAAGAATATTTGAGGTGAAGCTGTGAGTGTAGTTACACACTATGAACTGCAGGCGGCGCTGTGCGCGAGAGTCTGATCGCGGCCGCTCAATGGAGCAGAAGAAGAAGAAGAAGAAGAAGACGGGAACATGTACAAGGTGAGAAATAAACTTCAGCCGATCCTTAAGTGTGTGTTCGTGACTTATACACTCATAATGCGTACAACCGTGCGCTATTCACTCTTAAACTCACATGTACTATGAGTTCAGCTCAGTTCAGTTCATTATAAAGTTGATCATTTGATTTTTTAGATTTAAAGAGGCATTTGAGGACATGATACAAGGACACAGCAAAACAAAATGAACTATTTTACTTGTTTAAATAAATATATTATTGTGTCTAGTATTTTAGGATGATGTAATCCTGTAGAGTGTGTTTATTGCATAAAAACTCTTATTTCGCTTAGTGTTAGATCACATACCGGTCCGGTAGTAAAGGTTCAACTCTCTTTTGGTTTTATTTCCACTGTTTATGCTGAAAATATGAGATGACATTAAAGATTATAACACTTTATAGATCTTATATTTAATAGCCGATTTTATCCAAATGTATCAGCCCGTGAAATTGGACACTAGATGGTAATAAAACACCGTTAATTCATAAAAGAAATTGAAAACTTGTGTACAGTGCTAGTAGAAAGTCATCATACCCTGTAAAAAGCTGAGCTTTTTGTCATATTACACCCCGTAAAATTAAAATAAATGAAGTCTGATTTTTTCTTTTTTTTAGTTGTACACATTATAACCATCATCAAAGTAACATGAAATAACATTCTGAAATATTCTGGAGGATTATTAAAAATTAAAGAAATAGTTCCTTGGTCTAAATTGTTATTATTTTCTCAAGTTGTTTCAAACCTGTATTGAGTGTCTATGAGAAGATATTTTGAACAATGTTGGACACCAAACAGTTATGGACCCCATTTACTTCCATAGTATTTTTTTTCCCTACTATGGAAGTCAATGGGGTCCATCAACCTTCTTCAAAATATCTTCTTTTGTGTTCAGCAGAAGAAAGAAATGGACATATTTGGAAAAACTTGAGGGTGAGGAAATTAGCATTTTTGGGTGAACTATCCTTTTAATTTCATACTTAACATTTATCAATTGCAATGGTATTAATTTCTCATATTAATCGTGTTTGCGAAGGGAAAATGAAGTAAACATCAGTCCAGTGAAAAAGTGAAAATCAAGAGACGGCAGAGAGAGTTATGCAGTTTCAGACACTTCAGGGACCTTGAATGTCCTCAAAACAACTGTGTTTTTTGTAAATATGTGTCTGTATGTTATTCCTGCTTAAACAAGAAACATTATGCATGTGTTGACAGAGAGTACAACCTGGCTGTCTGTAGATAAAGAAGCCGTTGGGTTTATATGGATCAGGAACATGGGGGTTTATATGGATCAGGAAGTTCATTCACGCTCTGTGTTTTGCCCTGATAGGTTGGAGGAGTTGCAGGAGTCTCAGGAACTCTGGGATTGATCTCCGCTTCTGTTCTGGCCGCCGCCGATGACAAACCCAGCACAACTTTGAGTGTAGATGAGGTACTTTTATAGGGTCATATTTTAACCCTAAACTTAACATAATAAATAATGTTTTTTACATATAGAAAAGGAAACTAGAATTGTGTTTTTGTGACCATTAAGATCAAATATTTGAACATCATAGAATTTGTTGTACTGCATTTAATTCGTGCTGATTAAAAAAAGTTTTTACTACAGTAATGAAAATAAGTGGAAAAAATTTATATAATAAGAAGTCAGGATGTAATACGGAAATGAGAATTTGGGGGGAATTTATATTTCTTCAATGCATTTTTTTTCTATGCAAAATATAATTTTATATTTTTCCCTTGGACTTTAGGGTGAAATTTGACCCTTTTTTTTACATAAGGATAATGAAAACAAAATGTTTGCATTTTCAAGAAAATAAGAGATATTTGAACATCATAGTGACTAAATGAAGTTATTTGGTACTTTCTTTGAAGTGCTGTCAAGGCTTTGTGTATTTATTATAAGTTTTTGTCTATTTTTTTTTTTTATTAAACCCTGTTTATAAGAAAAATTCAATAAACCAGTTAAAAAATTAACAATCAAGAGTAAAATGATGCATTAAGGTAATGAGAGAAAATGTGCTTACTTGTCATTAAAATATTGTCAAAATGCAACAAATCGTCAAAAAAATAAAAGAGTTAGTTAATTTCATTGTTTTTCCTTTGACTTTGGGGTGAGATTTGACCCAGATGTTCACCAGAGTTTAATGTTAAAGGAGTAGTTCACTTTTTAAAAAAAACTTTCATTTGCTCACCCCCATGTCATCCAAGATGTCCATGTCTTTCTTTCTTCAGCTGAAAAGAAATGAAGGTTTTTGATGAAAACATTCCAGATTTTCTCCATATAATGGACTTCAATGGGGTCCAAACGGTTTAAGGTCCAAATGAGAGTTTCAGTGCAGCTTCAAAGGGCTTCAAACGACACCAGGTGATGAATAAGGGTCTTATCTAGGAACCTTTGAGTCATGACTCGAAAAAAGATTTGTTAATTTTGATGAACGAGTTCGAACAGGAGAATCACAGAACAGAGCAAGGCGAGCATTTGTGCTTATAAAACTTAAACTTTTTTATTTGTTTTTGAAATGACCACTCGTTTCGCTAGATAAGACCCGTATTCATCATCTGGTGTCATTTAAAGCCCTTTGAAGCTGCACTGAAACTCTCATTTGGACCTTGAACCGTTTGGACCCCATTGAAGTCCATTAGATGCAGAAAATCCTGGAATGTTTTCATCAAGAACCTTCATTTCTTTTCGACTGAAGAAAGAAAGACATGGACATCTTGGATGACATGGAGGTGAGTAAATTATCAGCTAAAGTTTTTTAAAAGTGAACTACTCCTTTAAGGAAATGATGGTGATTGTAACACACACTCATTGCTGTTTTAGCTGTCTCTCTACACCACGACGGCGCAGAAGATCCAGCATGTGGAGCCGGAGATCGGGCCGGTGGAAGAGGGTGTTTCCACACTGAGAAAAATGGCAGAACCTTACGTCACATGGTGCCAGGTACACACACACACACACACACACACTCGGTCCTAGCTCTACAACCGCAGAGTGTTGATCTTCTGTCCTGGCCAACACGTTGTGTGTTTCTGCATTGGACTCAGTGGCGTAGACTCATTGCAGCATGTTGGCTAATCTGCTCTGCATGGCTTTTCTATCGCTCCATCTCTTCATTTCATGACAGAATATGTTTTAATAAATATCTACAACACCAGAAACGCTTTATATGCATGTACAACACTCACACCAGCCAGGATATCTCACAAAATCAAGTCCTGATCATAAATAATATTATTTAGTTTTTTATTTGGGGATGAAATATTTTTTTTTCCAATTAAAAAAATGTAATGTCACAATGCACAAAATTATTGGTAATATTATTATTAATCTGAATCCTAAATCTGGATGCTGTATTTTTTAATGGCGATTAATCGCATACAAAATAAAAGTTTGTGTTTACATAATATATGTGGATGCACTGTGTATAATTATTTTATATATATATATAAATACACACACATGTTTGTATATATTTAAGAAATATTTTCATGTATATAGATTTATATATAATTTATATTATATATAAATATTTTATACATAAATAATATTTTTTTCTTAAATATACATGCATGTGTGTGTATTTATATATATAAAATAATTATACACAGTGCACACTCATATATTATGTAAACACTAACTTTTATTTTGGATGCAATTAATCGCGATTAATCGTTTGACAGCCCTAGTATTTTTCTCTTCCTGCTTTTGTAGGATGAAATGAGATTCAAACGTGTTTAACTCAACTAAAATAATCTATTACACTCATACTAGATAATTATATCAGTAGAAAAAGAAATACATAAAATCTAATTGACTAATCATTCAGTCTTGCCTAATTGATTTGACATTTCTAAACACTCGAAATTCACTTTTTGGTTTTATTTTTGGTGTCTGAATTGTGAATTAGAGCTGCATTCTATAATATTTCTGTGCATTTGAAAACTTTTAGTTTATTAGATTACACTTTTTTGTACGTTTCTTCTTCAGAAGTCAATTGTGATTTTACAGAAAACAGACCTCGAAGGAATGTCTCGGGTCAAAGGTTGAGCTCCATGGACTGCA